GGCCCCACCGGGGCCCCCGCAGGTAGGGCGAGGGCGGGCACGATGCGGCTGGAGCCCCAGCCTGGGTGCCGGGTCCCCGTTGGTCGGGCGGGAGACACGTCTCAGCCCGGGGGCCTGTGCGCTGTCGCCGCCGGTGCCCCCAGGGTTGGGAACTGAGGGCCGCACCTGACACTCGGACGGAACCCAGGGCCTGAGGAGGCCCTCCTCTCTCTGGTAGGGCTTTTTCGATGCGGAGCGACCGGCTCAAATGGCCACCTTCGTTCGACACTGGCGGAGGGGACGCCTCTGACCCCTAAGGAACCCACCCAAGCATAGGCCGGGTTTCCCTCTCCCTTTCCTACAGTAGTTAGTAGGAGGGGTTGGTGGAGGTTCTCAAAACCGAGTCCTCTCCTAGCGTTTCGGCCCTCGGGCTTCCGAGACCCTGGCGTAGGGCTGGTGGGAAAGATCGGAGTAGTAAATAGGGACCCCGGCCAAACAATGCCCTGGGAGGGCTTAGCCTCCCTTGGAGGGAGGTGGTCGGATCACAGTGGGTGCACAGGGTTTGTGACTCGGAGCAGTCGCAGGAGACACAGCCAGGGAATTCTGCTATGGCTTTCTTCTTTCCCTCTTTCATTTTTCCTTCTTGGGGAAGCCTCTTGAGGAGACTCTTCCACCATCTTAGAAGAATGGTAGAAGCATCTTTGTTTCTCAGAGAAGCAGCAGCTCTACTTTTCTCTGTCCCTAGCTTCTAGGGAGGGAGAAGATGAAGATAGCTGTCATTTCCATCCTTCAAATCACAGGGGAAGAGTTTAGGATGCTGGCAGATAGAGCCTGCACACCAAAATAGTCTCAAGTAATCACTGACACAAAGTAGATCTAATCTAGTGATTCCCAGTCTCTCAATGTTTTCATAACCACCTGGGTTCCCTCCTTAATACCCACTTCCCCCTTACCCAGGTCCCTTGTTTTTAATCTCTGCTTCACCCCCTCCGACTGTGATTAGGATGACTTTGTGTCTTAATTAAAGTGCTTCAGTAATTATTTTTTTTCCCATTTCTGTATTAGTGAAACTTTTGAGTTACAAAAGGAACTTTTGATTAATCTGAGAAAGCTAATACTGCTTCACCAAAGTGATAGAATTTCACCCAAAAGCAAAGAAGTTGTTTTTAGTAGATGAAGCCTTTGTATGATTACATGTACAAATTTAGTGAAGGCATTTTGCAACAATAAGAAGAGGTCCTGGATTCCTTGTTTTTACCTTTTGTCTGTTGGAAAAGCTACACCACTGTTCTAACCTCACATCCCTTTCTATGTTGTTTACTTCTGCATTTGATTCTTGAAGAAATGGAGGTTATTACAATACTGCTGAAGACTTTTCCAAAATTGCTATTTTTGTTGACTTAGAGATTTATATCTATTTCCCTCAAATTTTAGAGTTTGGACAATTACTGGAAGAACTAAATATTTTCAATCACGTTTGGAAAAAAAGATGTAGTAATTCAAATAGACTCTTCAAGGATTCTTGGAGGATTTCTTTGCAGTCAGGTTCATTAGAGGATCTTTTGAGTTACTCCTCATCTGCTATTACTGTTGTGTTAACCTGACATGTAAGACTTATGTCCTTTGTTCATATGATTTCATTAATTCACTTTCTGCTTTTTTGAGTTGTCTTCTAGTTAGGGAAAACCAACAAATTGTTTTTTGGCAAAGCATTTTCCTTTACTCTCTGAATTTTATTTACAAACAAATTCTGCATTGTATGTGAACGCTAAGAATGGTAAATAAACTTACTAAGAGCTGTAATAACCACTTACCGTTTCTGTTGGACTGGACTGAAGTTTCACTTTCAGTGATGGAAAAAATAAGCATGTAGTAAAATAACATTAGCTGAAAATTAAAAATAAATTGATGTTTTCTACCCAGTCTCATGAATTTTATAAGTTATAATTTCTATGATCAGATTTTCTAATTTTATGAACACTTTAAGTATTAAGTTTGATTTTTGCCTTAAATTATTTTTTTAAAAGAATTATTTTCATTTTTACTTTATTGTTAATATAATTTTAAAATTTGACCAGAGAGAGGTAGAGACAGGGAAAGTGAGAAAGCAAGCTGCCAGGCCCAGGACTCAAATCGTGGTCAGCCGTGTGAGAGTCCCACACCTTTAACCACCACACTACCTGCGGGCCCCTCACCTTAAATTCTTAATAAAAGTTAATTTTGAGTATTGCTTTGTAATCTTAAGTTCTCTAGAGTTGCTCTATCCAATACTGGCTAATAGCCCTGTGGGGCAGTTGAGGACTTGCAGTATGGCTAGTGTGAATAGAGATCTGCTATAATTATAAATAACACATCAGATTTCAAAGACTTAGTACAGAACTTTTTCAAATCAGTTTTTTTATATTGATTGCATGTTAACATATTTAGGATGAATTAAGTAAGATAAAATACATACTAAAATTAATTTCACCTATTTTCCTTCCTCTTTTTAAGTGTGATTACCAGAATATTTTAGATTATTCATGTACAGAGGCTTGCATTATGTTTCTGTTGGACATTGTTGTTCTAGAGCGGCACTACTCCTCCAAAATGTAATCTGAACAAAAGTAGACATATGAAAACCAAAAACTTCATGACAGAGTAGTATCTTACAAGGAGAATGATCAAAGGGCCATGGATACTTTGGCAATATGAAGGATAAAGTTATCCAGTGACAGTTATTTGAAAGGCAGAAATAAGTAATTAAATTTTGTCTCAAAAATAAGTATATTTCAAGTTTAGTTACCACAAAAGCAAAACTTTAATAGTTGTATTAGTTAAAATAGAAAGTTTATTTCCTGATTGCCCTATTAGAATACACCAAAAGTTTAATATTTAAAAACTTAGTTCAGTTCCTTAGTGGATCTAAGAACTGAAACTCAAATCATACACATTTCATAAGTTACAGTGGAATTTCATATAGTAGCAGTCTTTAGTCCTTTTTCTCCAGTTCTTTTAATATGTTTGGATGCTGAGTTTTAGAGTTTACAAAATTGTTTCCATTGATTTGTTTGTTTGGGTTAGGACCTAAACTGTACTTATGTTTTAAATATACTGTTAATTCCAGAACTAATTATTTTTAAATTTTCTAATTTGAAAAGTACTGTTACAGTTCATTTCAGTGGCTTTTATTCCTCACATGGATTAACTAAAATGGAAGCAATGGTTGTTTTAATTAATAGACCCAAGCCCTAATGTTTAAATGTTTATAAGGAGAACTGTAAAATACACACATATACACATAAATGTATGTATATTGTCATTGTAAAAATGGCTGTGATCGTCTCACACTGACTGCAGAATAAGGCAGATTAATAACAGAAAATCAGAGTACTTAGCTAATATGCAGTTTGCCTTTAATAAAGCAATTTGTAATTTGCGTCATATGAGAGATGTCTATTAATTTTCCCATTTTATGAGTTAGCACTCATAGTGAGAAACTCACAGCTAACTTACACTCAGAATTACTTAAGCGAAAATCTATTTAAGTCCTACTTCTAACTTAGCATTTCTCAGGTCTATGCTTTATCTTCTTCAGTTTTAATAACTAGTAATTAAAATGAACTAATTCAAACTATTAGAATACTTTTTTAAAATTGTATTTCACTTTATTTATTTATTTATTCATTTATTTTAATTTGACCAGAAAAGGACACAGCAAGTGAGTGAGGGAAAGTGAGAAAGCAAGTCACCAGTTCCAGTACTTGAACAGGGATTGGTCATGTGGGGAGACTAGCACCCTTAATCACCATGCCACCTATTGGCCCCCTATAATATTTTTCTTATGTAATCTCTTTAACTATACAGAATCCTGGAGGGTTTTTTTTTTTTTTTTTTTCCCATTTTTTTTTTTAACTTTATTTATTTATTTTTAACTTGACCAGAGAGGAACAGAGTGAGAGAGAGAGAAAGAAAGCTGCCAGTTCTGGGAATTGAACCATGGTCTGCCATGTGGTAATCCAGCGTCCTTAACCACCATGCCATCTGCCAGCCCTCTCCTGGAGGTTTTTAAATATGTTTTATCTCAATTTGAAATGGTTTGAGAGTATTCAGGATGAATACTTCAGTATTATAAATGTTAATAATTGGACTAACAGACTCATCACTATAAAATGTATTAGTGTAAGTCTAGAGTTGTACAAATTAATATATATTCTTAGCCCTCCATTATTCATTTATATGCTTTTAAAAAATAAGTTATAGAGATAATAGAATATTTACCATTTTTGCTAGTTACAAAAATATTTTCTAGTAAAAGTTTACAAAGTGCCTTCTTTAAGTTAAAGTATAGGGCCAGCTGGTGGTGTAGTGGTTAAGGTGGTAGATTCCCTTATGGTCAATTGTAGTTCAAGTTCTGGACCCAGTGACTTGAAACTCATGCTAGGTGCATGTGTACCCAAAATCTCAGGAGGAGAATGGAAGAGAAGGAATTACGGTGTGGCCATCTCCACTGGGTGGGTGATGTCTCACTTTCTGTCTCTGCCTCTCTGGTGAGCACATGTGACATATAGCAAAATCTCTCTAAAAAAAAAAGTAATAAAAGTCCAATTTTGTCATCACTAATTAAACATTTTAGTGAACTGTGTAAGTTCCATGTTTTTTTTTTTGGGGGAGAGGTTTTCGCTATAGGGCGCGTGTGCTCACCAGACAGACAGAAAGCGACATAGAGACAGAAAGCGAGAAATCACCCCCCAGAGGGGATGGTCACACTGCAATTCCTTCTCCTCCCTTCTCCTCTTGGGATCTTGGGCACACACGCACATGCGCCCGGCATGAGTTCTAGGCCACCAGGTCTGGGACGTGAACCGCAGTCGACTACGTGGGAGTCCAGCGACATAGTCATTATGCTAACTGCTGGTTTCCAGTTTTCATGTTTCTGATAAAGTTTTGTTTTAATTTGTCTTTATCTTAGTCAAAGAATCTAGAGTTAATTGGTAATAGTATTTAAGCAAACTTTTCTCTTTTTCAGAAGAGCTTTTTTGCTATAGGGTGTGTGCGTTCATTAGAGAGACAGAGAGGAACAGAGAGACAGAGAGGGATAGAGACAGAAAGTGAGACACCAGGGTGGGTGGGTGGCCACGCTGCAGTCCCTTCTCCATTCTCCTTTTGGGATTTTGAGCACAAGTGCATAGGTGCCCAATGTGAATTTTAAACCACCAGGTCCAGGATTGGAACTGCAGTCGGCTACATGGGAGTTCAGTGATGTAACCATTATGCCGTCTGCCAGTACCTTTATTTATTTTTTTAAAGAGAGATTGTTGCCATAGGGCTCGTACGCTTGCCAGAGAGACAGAAAAGGAGAAATTACCCTCAAGGAGGGATGACCGGGGTGCTATCCCTTCTCTTCCATTCTCATGTCGGCATTTTGCACCCACATGCACCCATCGCTGGGTCTGGACTTGAACCATGGTAGTCCAGCGACATAACTGTTATGCCATCTGCTGGTCCCTAAGCAAACATTTTTAATGACTTAAAATACATCTCATAAGGCAAAATTTAGTTGGTAATTTTGCTATCAGAAAATTAAAATCTGACACAGCAGGAGGAAAATTTGCATTTTTTCCCTTATATTTTAAAGGTTTTTAATTTGTTATAGAAATTAATTTCTCATGTATTAAAACCTGTGTTGTAAATACCTAAAAACATATATGGTATTATAACAAAACTGTCAAGTATATTCGGAATGGTTTGAAACATTTTAAAACTACATAATGGATGACAACATGAAAGATTAGCATTTTTTCTGTTTAGATGAAACTTGCTGGCTTTCCCCCCATAATAAAATTTAACGTAAAATATTTCAGGATGATCTTGGCAAAAATAAAGATATTAACGAAAAATACAAAAAGAATATTTGCTCTTTGTTTTTCTATTACCCAGTGACCTATGGTACTGTAAACCCAGAATTAACATTTCCAAACAGGTGGCCATTATGAAAAAAGTATATTTGGTCTTGTTTTGATAAATATTTTTATCAGTTTAAGTTATTAACTAAATTAGAATTCTCAGTAGTAGATCTAAGATAAAATTTGTTCTTCCTCAAAGGCCTTTTCTTTTATAATTCTGCAACCTAGAAAACTGAACATTAAAAATGTGAAATTGTGGTAATGTGGTGATTAAAGTATTGGACTTCCACATGGCTGACCTGGTGGCTTACTTTCTCACCTTCTTTGTCTTCTCTCTCTCTCTCTTTCTCTGGTGAGTGCATGTGTCCTATAGCGAATTAAAATAATAATAATAAATTAATATAATTATTTAAAAAAATACTAAATTGTTCTAGGAAATGATGTATTCACCTGCTTTGTAATCATTTCTGAAGTAAAAAACAAACTAACTGGCTTTTAGATTTCTGACATTAATAAATGTAAAAATGTGAGAGTAAAAGGTGTAAAATTATTACTTGTAAGATTTGGCTGGCTTACATATAAAAACACTAGATATTTTGCAGTACAGCTGTTTGAGAAAAAGTTTATGATTTTTTTACATTGCAAGCTCTGTAATTCATTTTACCAAGATACTTTCAAAATCTTTGTTTTTGTGAATATAGAAGCACAGTAGAGTCAATGGAGTGCTTCGTTTGTATGTTGGAATGATAAGGAATGGTTTTTGTTTTTTTTTTTAGAATTATTTTGTTTTAACTTTATTTATTATTATTATCATTATTATTTTCCAGTTTGATCAGAGAGAGACAGAGAGAAAGAGGAAGTTAGAAAGCAAGCCACCAGGTCCAAGACTTGAACCGTGGTCGGCCATGTGGGAGTCCAGCGCCTTTAACCACCATGCCACTTGCCGGCCCCATGGAATGCTTTTCATAGGATACTTTTCTGTCCTGGATCTAACTAACTTCTTAAACATATAATGTCTGTGGAATTAATATGTTTGGGTTGGTAAACATTCCTATGAAATGAAGTATTAGTTGTTTAATTGCACTATATCCCTAGATTTTTTTGCTCAGTAGAGAGCCTTTGTCCAATTTATGTAAATTTTGAATTGGAATATACAGAAAATTTGTGAAATGTGGAGTGTTCAAGTTAGACAGTATAGTTTTGATACTAAATCTTTTATTAAAAGTTATGGAACAGGGGGCCAGCAGGTGGCATGGTGGTTAATTTGCTGAACTCCCACATAAATGACCATGGTTTGAATCCCAGATCTGTTGTGATTAAACATCTGCTTGCGTGCCCAAAATCCAAACAAGAGAAAGGAAAAAAAGAAATTGCGATGTGGTCATCCCTCCTGGGGGATGATTCTCACTTTCCGTCTTCCTTTCTGGTGAGCAAACATGCCCTATGGCAAAAACCTAAAAAAATAAGAAAGTTAAGGAACAATCATTTTAATGATAGAGCAAACTGTAATTATAGCAAAGATAGAATGTATATTTTGCTTATTTTGTTGGAATTATTAGATGAGAATAATGTTTTATTCTTCTGTACCTTCCTCATTCAACCTGACAGTTTTTGGCACAAGATTATTACACGATAGCATATAATTTAGTCAGAAATGTTGTAGCAAATTACTGTAGGTTGAGGGTCCTTATTTCAAAAGTTTGGAGCCAGAAGTGTTTTGGACTGGGATTTTTTGGATTTTGGAATATTTGTGTATATATAATGAGATCTCTTGGGGTGGGGACCCAATTCTAAACATAACATTTATTTATGTTTCATGTATACCTTATACACATAGCCCAAATGTAATTTTTAATAAATTTTTTGTAGCATTTTGACTGTAACCTGTCACATGAGGTCAGCTGTGGAAGTTTTTATTTATGGTTCATATTGGTACTCAAAAAGTTGTATATTTTAGAACATTTGGGATTTTTCATCAGGGTTCCTCAACTTGTACAAGATTTTTAATACAGTATGTTTTTTTTCCCTCTGTTTTGTTTCGTTTCATTTCTTTTCTTTTCCTTTTTTTTTTGGAGAGGTGTTTTGCTATAGGATGTGTGTGCTCACCAGAAAGGCTTAGAGACAGAAAATGAGTAATCACCTCTCAGAGGGGGTGGCCACGCCACAGTCCCTTCTATGACCATTCTCCTCTCGGGATCTTGGGCGCACACGCACACACACACGTGCCCAGCGTGAGTTTAAGCCACTGGGTCTGAACCGCAGTCGACTACGAGTGCGCCGCCAGCCATTATGCCAACTACTGGCCCCTCTTTTTTTTTTTTTTTAAAGAGAGATTTTTGCTATAGGGTACATGTGCTTGCCAGAGAAACAAAGTGAGAAATCATCTCCCAGGGAGAACAGCCTCACTGCAATCCTTTATTTATCCCTCTATTCTCCTCTCAGGATTTTGGGCACACATGTACATGCCCCCTGTGTGAGTTTCAAGCCACTGGGTCCAGGACTTGAACCACAATCGGCTGGCAAGTCCAGCAATATAACCATTACACCATCTGCTGGTCCCTTTCTTTCATTTCTTAATTTGGCAGAGCGTACATATTTGTAAGAGGGTGGGTGGGGGGGTGGTGGTGGTCACATCCTAATCCTTTGTCTTCTATTTTGACCTCCTCTTAGGATTTTGGATGTGCACACGTGTCTGGTATGGTTTTCAAGCTGCTGAGGCTAGAATTTAAACCACACAGTGGGCCATGTGGGGTCCAACTCCCTTAACCACCAGGCCCAAGGGACAGCCCCAAGAAAGTATTTTCTTTGTTACACTTTGGCACTGTATTTTATGGTTATCATTCTTTCATTTGTGGACAAACAGTTCTGTCATCACAATCTTTTTCTTACTTGTTGATTTCCAATACCTCCATTAGCCTACTACTCAAGTCTTGACCAGATTACCTTTGAGGTGACAAGGCTATTTTCTCTACACTTTACCTCCCTATTGTTTGAATCAGTAGTTTTCAGATTTCACTAACTCTTAGGCCAAATATTAGTATGTTTTGGAATAGTGGTTACTTAAGGCAAACACCTAAAAAACAGTAACAACAAAAAGCTTCTAGTAGTCCAAAGTAGTTTTTTTTCCTAAAAAAGGAAAGGTAATTATGTATTTGATATGGTCATTTAAAAAAAAAAAACTAAAGAGCCATCAGTTGGTATAGTGGTTGAGGTGCTAGACTCCCTCCTCCCCCTTTTTTTTAGAGAGAGAGATTTTTGCTATAGGGCCTGTGTGCTTGCCAGAGAACCAGAGAGACAAAGTGAGAAATCACCCCCTCAGAGGAGATGGCCATGCCACAATCCCTTCTTCATTCTCCTCTTGGGATTTTGGGCACATATGCGCCCAGCATGAGTTTAAGCCACTGGGTCTGGGACTTGAACCACAGTTCACTAAGTGGGAGTTCAGCAACATAACCATTACACCATTTGCTCGTCCCAAGGCACTAGATTCCCACATATATGACCTCAGTTTGAGTCCTGGACCTGGGGGCTTGCTTTCTCACTCTCTTTCTCATCTCTCTTGTCTCTCTCTCTCTCTCTCTGGTGAGTACATATGCCTCTTAAGCAAATTAATAATAAAATTAAATAAATAAGTAATTAAAAAAATAACTAAAAGCTTTGGTGATTGTTCTGTGAGTAACCAATGTAAATAATAGGCTTAGTTTACAGGAACACTACTTCGATTTTGAATTTTACCAGAGGGTGCATGTGCTTTTTAGGGAGAGAAGAAAAGAGACAGAGGAAGCATCCCCCATGGGAGATGGTCATGCCACAGTCTCTTCTCCATTTCTCCCTTCTTTTGGCATTTTGGGCATGCATGCACACATGCCCAGTGTGTTTCTCAAGTGCTGGGTCCAAGACTGCATAGTCAGCCATTTGGGCTTTAGATGTCCCAACCATCATGCCATGGGCTGGCTGATAGGAATACTATTAGCATGTTGTTTCTGGGCAGAATTTTAGAAATTTAGTTAACTCAGCAAGTAGATTTCTTAAAACGATAATCTAAACATATTAAACTATTCCAGAAGTGTTTTTGATTCCGAATCTATGATAGTTGATTTTAGCAGCTTAAAAGGCAGATGTTGAATATGCGATTTATTCTTACTTTTTGTCCATTTCCAGCTTACAAAACACTACACAGCAAAATAATGATCTGCTAGACTGCTAACCCGAGCATCCAGCTTCCACAATGCCTGTGCAGGCAGCTCAATGGACAGAATTTCTGTCCTGTCCAATCTGCTATAATGAATTTGATGAGAATGTGCACAAACCCATCAGTTTAGGTTGTTCACACACCGTTTGCAAGACCTGCTTGAATAAACTTCACCGAAAAGCTTGTCCTTTTGATCAGACTGCCATCAACACAGACATTGATGTGCTTCCTGTCAACTTTGCACTTCTCCAGTTAGTTGGAGCCCAGGTATGCTTTCAAAATTTTACTAATTTGGTACAGATTATAATTTCCAACTTTATTTATTAAGAGGTATGTATGTCTGTTTGTTTGGTGATTGTCAAGACATAAAAAATAAGTTCTTACTGATTTTTATAATTTTAGTCTGCCAGAGCATTTCTTCAGGAAATGTCAGAAATCCTGTGTAAAACCATACATTTCATTATAATTACATTTTTTTCTTCAGTGTGATGGTGAAAATTTATGTATAGAAGTGATTTTGGTGGATAAGAAACATTTTTTTTAAAACCATACATACTTATTCATTAATTGATATGAAAAGAAATTTAGAGAGTTGTTTTTTTTGTTTGTTTGTTTGTTTTTTGTTTTTTGGCTATAGGGTGCGTGTGCTCACCAGACGACAGACGGAGAGACAGAAAGCGAGAAATCAACCCCCGGGGGGGTGGCCATGCCGCAATCCCTTCTCCTCCATTCTCCTCTCGGGATCTTGGGCTCGCACGCACACGTGCCTGGCGTGAGTTTAAGTCACCGGGTCCGGGACTCGAACTGCGGTTGACTGCGTGGGAGTCCAGTGGCATAGCCGTTACACTAACTGCTGGTCCCCACATGAAAAGAAATTTAATCAAAGGTTCGTCCAGAAACAACCAGCCAGCTGCAGCCCACAGCTGGAAAGTTTGTTTTTTTTTTTTTTTTTTTTTTTTTAACTTCACATGATTTAGGATTATATTATGAGAGAAAATAAAGTCTATCTAAGGATGTATATATGGAAAACCAGAATGTTAATAACATATTCTGTGGTTTTTTATACATAATATGTTACAGAATGAGTATTTCATGTTTATAGTCATTTTATGAAATTCAGAGTAATATCATAGACTTAAAATAACTTCCATTTAATGAAAATCTATTCTCTGTTAGATATGATAGTAGTATTCACCATCCGTTATTAATAATTCTTACTATAGCTCTTCAGGTAGTTATCCCCATTTTACAGATGAGAAAGATGATGAAATTCTGTACATCATGCACTACCTATTAAAGCAAGAAAGTAAGGATTTTTCTGATTTATTAGAAAATTCAGTGACCTAAAATACTTATTTATTTCTTTAAATTTTGATAGTTCAAATTTTCCTTCTAAAGCACAAAATCTATTTTCATTGTTTATCATCATGTTAGACACTCAAAGCTGCATCTGTAGTCCATCTAATGTGTCATTATTTAGTTGTCAGTATATTTTCCTTAGTGGAGCATAAAATGTTACCTCTTACAAACAAGAACACTTTGTATTTGATAAAACACCATTACTAGCTACCATTTATTTAGTGTCTGCTAGATCAGGTATTCTAAGTGTCTCCTTTGGTCTTTAAAATAGCCTACAGATCAATACAGTGTAACTTCTGTTACCTCTTCAACCTTATATCCTACTATTCTTTGTGCTTAAGCCATACTAGCCTCCTAGCCAGTTCTCAAATGTACCAAACATACTACCACCTGAAGACTTTTGTAGTGACTGTTACCTTTGCCTGGAATGTTCATCTTGTCTTTCAAGTGTTTGTTCAGATGTTCCAGTTCTCAAAGAAACCTATCCTGACCATGTACTTAAAATAGCAACCTTTGCCTAGGTTTCCCATTCCTTCTCATCTTTGCTGTATATTTTTTACTGATCACCTTCTAACATATTATAAATTTACTTACTGTGTTTTTAATTTATTGACTGTCCCTTTCTCCAGTAGAATGTAGGCCCCAGAATGGCAAGAAGTTTTATGTTTTGCTCACTGATAGATCCCTAGCACCTAAAACTGCACCTGGCACATAGTAAGCATTCCATAAATACAAATATTTATTGAATTAAATTGAACTTGTAAAATGGCACTAGGAAATAGGGGTTTTCATCTTCATTTTGCAAATACGGAAATTATGACTTGGGACACTTAAATAATTTACTCAGTATCCCTCATAAAGTGGAAGAGCTGTAATTTTTACCTGCCTTTTTAACTTTTGATTGTGGATACTATGTTTTACAGTGCTAATATTGGAACAAGAGGGGACAGACCATAATAAAGAGACTAAGTAAATAGAATAATATGTTAAGTGCTATGGGAGAAAAAATAAAAACTTTCTCTATTTTTTCTTTTTAATTTTTAAGACTTAAGAAAAATTGCAAAAAACAATATATAGAGAGAGATATATATAGAGAGAGAACCTGTATGTCTTTCCACAGCTTCCCCTATTTTTTTCATAATTATAGCAGTTATCAACTTCAAGAAATTTGTATTGGTATGATACTATTATCTACCTGATTATTTTTCTTCTCCTTTATTAATGTACCCACCTCTGCTATTGTGATATCCTTGGCTTTGGAAAGCTGTTTAACTTAAAAAAATTTTTTTAAGAATTATATAATTTAATTTTATTTATTTGTTTACATATTTATTTTAATTTCACCAGAGAAGAACAAAGAGAGAGAGAGAGAGAGAGAGAGAGAGAGAAGGAAAGTGAGAAAGCAAGCTGCCAGGTATGGGATTCAAATGTGGTTGGCCATGTGGGAATCCAATGCCCTTTTCATTTTTAGAGAGAGAGATTTTTGTTTTAGGGTGCGTGCACTCCCCAGAGAGACAGCGAGAAATCACCCCGCAGCAGGAGTGGCCACACGGCAATCTCTTTTCCACTCAGGATCGCGCGCGCGCGCACACACACACACACACACACACACACACACACACGTGCCTGGCCTGAGGTTGTTTTTTTTTTTTGAAGAGGTTTTTGCTATAGGGCGTGTGTGCTCGCCAGACAGAGACAGAGACAGAGATAGAAAGCGAGAAATCATCCCCCAGGGGGGATGGCCACGCCGTAATCCCTTCTCCTCCGTTCTCTTGGGATCTTGGGCACGCATACACATGCGCCCAGTCTGGCCTGAGTTTTGAGCCAAAGGGTGATCCGGTACTTGAACTGCCCTTGAATATATGGGAGTACAGCGACATAAACATTATGCCATCTGCTAGTCCCAGGAGTCCAGCGCCCTTAACCACCACCGTCACCTACCAGCCCGTTTGGCTTTAATTTTAATGAAATTATCTTGATGTACTATCTTTGTATTATCATTTTGTGCTTGCCAAGATTATTATTAAATATATAAATAATAGTTGTGTGAGTTGGGTAAATGTATTTTTGCGTTTTTTTCTTATTTTAGGTACCAGATCATCAGTCAATAAAGTTGAGTAATCTAGGTGAAAATAAACATTATGAAGTTGCAAAGAAATGCGTTGAGGATTTGGCACTCTACTTAAAACCACTAAGTGGAGGTAAAGGTATGTTCATAAAAAGCATTTTTATGGTAAATAGTACTTGGCAATACATGTACTTTGAAATACATTATGTGGATACCCTGTTAAATTGTTTTAGAGATAACTTGAAAAATTTTCTGATTAGGAACATTATATTGTACTTTTGTCTGAAAATAAGCTGTGTTGTTAACTTAGGAAATTATCAGACCCACTGCATATTGAAATAAATATTGTATTCATTGATTAAACTAGTAGTGTTATAGCAGAATATTAGTTTTTATAAATCCTATTAGGACAATTTTATGCATTTATTCAGTCATTCATTTAACTTTATTAGCACTTATGGTTAGATTCTTCATAAATGAGAAGATAGCATAACAAGTATAATAAATTATAGGTGACCATTGAACCAACAGGGAAGTTGAACCTTGTGCAGTTGAAATTTACACGTAACTTTTGATTCCCCTGAACTTAGCCACTATTAGAATACTATTGACTGGAAACCTTATTGATAATATAAACAACCAATTAACATGTATTTTGTATGTTTTATATATATTATATACCATATTCTTACAGTACCTTAAGCTAGTGGAAAAAAAATGTTAAGACAGTCATAATGAGGAAAAAATACATCTTAAGTGCTGTACAGCATTTTCCAGGATTTTTATTGGAAAAAATCCATGTGTAACTGGACCCATGCAGTTCAAACCTGTGTTGTTCAATAGCCAACTGTATGCATTTTAAAAATTTTTTTTTTTTTTTTTTTTTTTTTTTTTTTTTGAGAGAGATATTTTTGCTGTAGGGTACATGCACTCACTGGAGAGACAGAAAGTAATCACTCCCCAGGTTTCTTTTCTTGGGATTTTGGACATGCACATACATACACCTGGTTCAAGGTGCTGGGTCCGAGGCTAGAACTGTAGTTGGACACCTGAGAGTCCAACGCCTTAACCACTATGCCACCTGCTGGCCCCCACTACTATTATTATTTTTTCTTTTTTGAGAGGTTTTTGCTATAGGGCATGTGGGCTCGCCAGAAAGACAGAGAGAGACAGAAAACAAGAAGTCATCCTCCAGTGGGGATGGCCACGCCGCAGTCCCTTCTCCTCCATTCTCCTTTTGGGATTTTGGGCACGCACACACACGCGCCGGGCATAAGTTTAAGCCACTGGGTCCAGGACTTGAACCGCGGTTGACTATGTGGGAGTCCAGCGACATAGCCATTATGCTAACTGCTGGTCCTCCCCCATTACTATTTTAAAATTTGCTACAGGATACACATACACACACACACATATACACACACACACACACACGGTACACACACGTAAGCCACTGGGTCTAGGACTCATACTGCAGTTGACTATTCGGGAGTCTCATAATATAACCATTATGCCATTTGCTGGTTTCAAGGGCCAAATATATATATATATTTACATATATTATTATATTAAAAAATATATATATGTGTGTGTGTGTGTGTGTGACTGTTTATTTAGTTTTATTTGTTATTATTATTTATTTTTTTAATTTGACCAAAATGACAGAAAGAATGAGAGAAGGGGAAAGTGAGACAGCGAGCTGTTGGGTCCAGGACTCGAACCGTGGTTGGCCATGTGTGAGTTCAGTACCTTAACCGCCACACTACCTGCTGGCCCTGAGCCAACTATATTTTAAAAAGTGTAATTTTATGTGGCTGGCAGGTGGCATGGTGGTTAGAGCGCTGGACACTCACATGGCCAACTACAGTTAGAGTCCTGGACCTGGTGATTTGGTTTTCCAATTTCCCTGTCTCTCTCTGATCAAATTAAAAATAATGATAATAAATAAAATTTTTAGAGAAAAATATTAGACTTTTACTTATCACTGTATATCCAGTGACTAGCATATCTTAGTGTAATGAATAGTTGTTGAATGAATGGAGTATTCATTTTGTATTTGCTTTATGCTCTGCACTGTTAGATATTTTGTACATAGTGATTTTCTCGAGAAATTTACCTCATTTACTACATACATTTATTCATTCATTTATTGAACAGATATGTAAAGATCATGGACTATGTGCTAGGGATTCTTCTGGTGATTGTGATGTATTAGTAGGTCAGTCCGACAGATATCCCTGTTGTCAAAGCATTTACATTTTAGAAAAAGGAACAACTATAGTAAGCAATAAGAATAATGATAAAGCAAATTAAATACTGGGTTGTCAGAAAAGTCATAATGTATTTTTGTTCTATGCAATAGAACTTTTCCAATAACCCTATAGTATAAGCAATAATTGCTGTGAAAATTAAACAGAATATGGTTAGATCAGAGATATTAGAGTCAGGGGAGAAAGGCAGGTTGCAATTTTTAAAGAGTAACTAGTGTAGGCCTCGTTAATAAGACGTCTTCTGACTTTGAAATGAGGTGAAACGGTTAGCAAATAGGTCTGGAAAAAGAATGTTCTAGGCAGAGAGAATAGCCAGTACAGGGTCCCCAAGGCATGCCTAATGTATTCAGAGAAAAGCAAGAAAATAGTATTCCTAGAGGTTTATAAGTTAGGGTAAGAGCATTATGACATAGATGAGATGAAATGGCATGGCCAGGTGATCTAAAGACTTTTAGGCCATTTAAGAGCTTTTGGGGCCAGCAGGGGCATAGTGGTTGGGGTGCTGGACTCCCACATGGCTGACCCTGGTTCAAATCCTGGACCTGGTAATGTTTCTCATCTCCCCCTCCCCCCCCCACCCCCACCCCTTCTCTCTCTGTCTCTGCCTTTCTCTGGTGAGCAAATGTGACCTATAGCAAAATGTTTAAAAAATTAATAATAAATTAAATCATTTTTTAAAAAGGCATGAACTTTAACTCTTAGTAAAATAAGTGAATCATTGCAAGGTTTTGAGCAGAACAACATAATTGTTGTTTAAAGGATCACTCTGGCTACTGTGTTGAAATTCAGTATAGAGGGGCCAGCAGGTGGCATAGTGGGTAAGGTGCAGGACTCTCATGGGGTCAGTCATGGTTCAAGTCTCGGACGTGGGGGCTTGAAACTCAATGTCAGGCATGTTTGTGTGTGCACCCAAAATCCCAAGAGAAGAATGGAGGAGAAGGGATTACTGTGTGTCCATAGCCCCTGGGGCTTGATATCTCACTTACTTTCTCTCTGGTGAGCACGCTTCCCCTATAGCAGAACTCTCTCTCAAAAAAAGCAGTTTGGAAAGGCAAATATAGAAGCTCAGTGGTTAAGAAGTCATAAGGACAAGGGTGGTAACAGTGGAGGTGGTAAGAAGTGATCAGTCTAGATATATCTTCAAGGTAAAGCCAAAAGTATTTCCTAAATTACTGGATTTGGAGTATGAGAGAAAATGTAGAGTCAAATGTGACTCCTGAAGTTTTGGCCTGAGCACCTGGAAAGAAGGGTTGCCATTAATGTAAGGAATACTGTAGGTAGAGAGATTGAGCTCAGTTTTGGTTGTGGTAAATTTGAGATGTCTATTACTCACTTGGGTTCTGTTAAGTGAGAAGTGGATATAAGTCTTTTCTTAAGGATTGATGCCTAGGAGCTAAAACTTTGAGAGTCATTGACATATAATTGGTATTTAAACTGTGACACTGGATGTGATCATCTGAATAGTGAATGTAGATAGAGTATAGAGAAGAGTCTTTTTGACTGGGTATTGAGACCCTTTAAAATTAAGACTTCAGGGTAGGGGCCAGCAGGTGACATGGTGGTTAGGATACTGGATTCCCACATACCCATCCACTGTTCAAGTCCTGGACCTGGCAGCTTGCTTTCTCACTTTCTTTCTCTCTCTCTGGTCAAATTAAACAATAATAAATAAAATTAAATATTTAAGAAAAGATTGAGGATAAAAAGGAAGAAATTAGTAAAGAAGAATAAAATAAAGAAGAAAATCAAGAACATGGAAGGTTTTGGAAATCCAAAATTTAAAAGATGTTTAAACTACTTACAAAAGTAAAGAGTAATCTTCTGTGTTACATTTTTTTGGAAGGTCAAATAATATGAAGACTCAGAACCATTGGTTTAGCAAAGCAGAGTTAATTGTCTCGACAGTATCACTTGTTTTTGTTTGTTTATAAACTAGTGGTAAAAATTAAATTGGAGTTGGGGCTGACAGGTGGCTTGGTGGTTAAAGGCTCTGCATTCCTACATGGCCGACCGTGGTTCGAATCCTGGACCTGGCAGTTTGTTTTCTTGCTTTCCCTCTCTCTCTCTCTGTTTGGTTAAATTAAAATAATAATAATAATTAAAATAATAATAATAACAACAACAAATGGAATTAAATAATAAATTTTTTGGAGTGATTTTTTTTTTTTTGGTAAAGGGCATGTGGGCTCACCAGAGAAGACAGAAAGTGAGAAATCATTCCCCCAGGAGGGATGGCCATGCTGCATCCCATCTCCTCCATTCTTCTCTTGGGATTTTGGGCACGCACGCACATGCACCCTGCACAAGCCACTGGGTCCGGGACTTGAACCATGGTCGACTACATGGGAGTCCAGCGGCATAGCCATTACATCAACTAAATAAATAATTCTTAAAAAAAAAAATATTAAAGTGGAGAAGGTTTTAGAGATTTTGAAACAGGATCTGGAAATTGTAAATATCAACATTTCTGGAGGATTGACTATAAAAAGTAAAGAATAGGGTAGAACTGGTAGTGGAAAAAGGATCAATGAAAAGATTATTTTTAAGATGAATGAAGTAACAGCATAGTTATTCTTATTGTATGCTGACAGATATGATCAAGTAGATAGGGAAAAGTCGGTAATGTGGAAGCAGGGTAAATAGCTGGAGCAATGTCTTTTAGTAAGTCCAAAGAAGGAGGAGTAGCTAAGAACTTCCCATTAAGTACTTCTTTTTTTTCCTTTCTTTTTTTTAGAGGGATTTTTGCTATAAGGCTCAAGCTCACACCAGAGAGACAGAAAGAACATGAGAAATCACCTCTTGGGGGAAACGGCCTCACCACAACTCCCATCTCTTGAGATTTTGGGCATGCACACATGTGCCCAGCTTGAGTTTCAAGTCACCAGGTCTGGGACTCGAACATTAGTCAGTCATATGGGAGTTCAGCACCTTAACCACTGAGCCACATGCTGGCCCCACCATTAAGTACTTCTAAATGTCCGTTGTATAGTTTAAGATAGATAGATAGATTAATTAATTAATTAATTAATTAAAAACATTTAATGACTTTTACACAACTCAGAGAACAAGATACCTCTTGGGCCATCGGAAAAGTTAGAACATATTTTTCTGTTTTTCTACACAAAGTGCATCATGACTTTTCTGATGACCTAATAAATAAAATTTAAACTAAAATTTAGGCTCTTTAGTACTAGAGAACAGTAGTAAACAAAGACAGAATACTTATTGTTAAAAAAAGGAAAATATAAGGGACTGATTAGGAATGTGGCTTAATAATTAAATACAGATCATGAAACTTGAATTGTCTTTTTTACTGGAAAAAAAAAATTAGTTTTCTGTTTCTTTTTCTAAAGGTGTAGCTAGTTTGAACCAGAGTGCACTGAGCCGTCCAATGCAAAGGAAACTGGTGACACTTGTAAACTGTCAACTGGTGGAAGAAGAAGGTCGTGTAAGAGCCATGAGAGCTGCCCGTTCACTTGGAGAACGAACTGTAACAGAACTGATACTACAGCATCAGAACCCTCAGCAATTATCTGCCAATCTGTGGGCTGCCGTCAGGGCTCGAGGATGTCAGTTTCTAGGGCCAGGTAAGGTAGAGCACTGTCTTACTTTTCTTTTTGGCTGTCAGGGATTGAGGAATGCCAGTTTATGGAGCTAAGTAAGAACCTCCGAGTAAGAACCTCCAGGCTTAACACATCTTTTTGTTTGTTTATTTTTAAAGTGTGTATACTTTATTTTTTTTCCTATGAGCAAGAGAAGTATAGGGAAATACAGTACCCCCAGCAGCCCACAATCCATCCCCATCTTTAGTTATCTACAGCTCATGGGCATATGAGCAACTGCCATACTTAAGGAGGTCTCTTGATATAACCTTCTCATGTGGGTCAGTCTCAGAGCATTGTGTTTTGTTTTTTTGTTTGTTTTTTTTGAGAGTTTTTTTGCTATAGGGCGCATGTGCTCGCCAGACAGACAGAGAGAGAGAAAGCAAATCATCCTCCAGGGGGGATGGTCACGCCGCAATCCCTTCTCCTCCATTCTCCTCTTGGGATCTTGGGCACGCACGCACACGCGCCCTTTGTGAGTTTTAAGCCACTGGGTCCGGGACGTGAACCGCGGTCGACTACGTGGGAGTCCAGCGACATAACCATTACGCTAACTGCTGGTTCCCTCATAGCATTGTGTTTTACTAGTGTGCTACTGTCTGGCCTCTCAACTCTTCCTTATCATACAAATCTCAAATTAAAGATAAATCAGTTTATGTTAATCATAGTCTATATGATAAACAGTGCTTCAGTGTTTTAGAACAGGTTTCTCATTTAATTGTCAACTATTGTCAAGGTAGGTAACAAAATTACAATTTTTGTTTTGCGAGTTAGAAAGAGGCCTGATAATACATAGGTATTAATTAGAGGAAAGGTAAACCTTGTTCTTTTTTGCCTGAAGAAAAATAATAAATTCTTGATTGTTTTTAAATCTTAAAAAACAGAATTATCATGAAAAATAAAATCATCAGTGGATAATTCTTTTTGGTTAGTGCTATCTATGATCTTTTTTTTTTTTTTAAGAGATTTTTGCTGCATGGCATGTGTGCTCCTTGGAGAGAGACAGAGAAACAGAAAGTGAGAAATCACCCCACAGAGGGATGGCCACATTGCAGTCTTTTCTCCATTCTCTTCTTGGGATTTTGGGACCACACACCTGGCATGATCTTCAAGCTGCCCAGGTCTGGGACTCAACCATATTTGGCCATATGGGAATTTAGCACCTTAAATGCCATACCACCTGCTCACCCCCAAAGTGCCTTTTTAAAAAAAAAAAAAATTTGCCATAGGGCATGTGCCTGTGCTAAATAGAGAAAGAGAAAGGAAAGTGAGAAAGCTACTGGGCCAGCTGGTGGTATGATAGCAAAGATGACTATATCTGGGGCCAGGAAGTGGCATCGTGGTTAAGGTGCCAGACTGCCATGTGGTCTTCTATGGTTCGAATCCCAGACCCAGCAGCTTGAAACTCATGCCGGGCATGTATGCATGTATTCCCAAAACCCCAAGAGGAGAATGGAAGAAAGGGGTTGTGGTCTGGCCATCCCTCCTGGGGGGGATGATTTCTTAATTTCTCACTCTCTGGTAAGCATGTATGTCCTATAGCAAAAATCTCTCCAAAAAAAAAAAAAAAGACTAGATCCCACATGACTGCACAGTTCAAACCCTGGAGCCAGCAGCTTGAACATACTGGGTTTGAGTGCACGGTTGTATCTGTCTGTCTCTTTTTCTTCTCTCTACATGTTCCCTATAGCAAAAAGTTAAAGTTGAAAAATGCAGATCATTCATTTTATAGAAAATTTTATTTTTTAATTGCTAGAGGGCATGTACTCTCACCAGAGGTATAGCACTTCTCAGGGGAACGTTTTCCTCTCTTTCTCCCACCTATCAGAATTTGGTGCACAGGCAGGTACATATGCCTCACGTGTTCATCAAGTCACCAAAATTGAGACTTCTACTATAGTCAGCCATGTGGTATCTCATTTTCCATGCCTGGCACTTAACCACAAGGCTGATCCTAGAAAATTCTTGATTTCTTTTTTTTTTTCCTGACTTTCCCTCATGATTGCATTTAGATTATTCTCTGTACTTTTGACTATAACATCAGGGTGGGATTAGTGAGCGGTACATTTGTAAAGCTCAGTACTGCACAAGTCAATCCCACATGGAAGGTTCCTGGAACAAGTCTGGAGAGTTCCCTGTGTACTCCAGGAAACACTTTATCAGGAACTGGTGAAAGGTGGGGGTGGATTATAGCATCAAGACCTTGTTGGGCAATACATTCTTACTCTCTCTCTCTCTTGCTCATGGAAGAAATAGTAAATAAACTTTTTTCAATTGCCAGTTGTGCGTGTGTCTCACCAGAGAGCAAGCGAGCGAGACAGGTGGAGGGGAGAAAGCACTCCTCAGTGGGGTAGGGTCATGTGGAAATCTCTTTCCAGTTCTCTATCCTATTGGGATTTTAGGCATACAAACCCCTGGCACCCTGCATGTTTTTCAAGCTACTAGGACCAGGATTCGAACCACAGTCAGCAGTGTGGGATCATGGTCCCTGAACCATTGGGCTATGGGTCTGACCCAATAATAAATAAACTTTTAAAATATAAAGTAAATGCATTGCTTCCAGAGGCTATTTTTTTTTTTTAAGAGATTTTTGCTATAGGGAACGTGCGCTCGCCATAGACAGAAAGTGTGAAATCGCTCTCTGGGTGGTTGGCTACTCCACAATCCCTTCTCCATTCTCCCTTCTGGATCTTGGGCATGCATGCACACGTGCCTGGCATGAGTTTTAAGCCGCCAATCTGTTGAACTCATGGGAATCTAGTGATGTAACCATTAAGCCATCTACTGGTCCCGGTTAACATCATTTTTCATTATATACAAAATAGTTCTGGCAGGCAAAGTAATAGTTCCGTGTATAAAAACAGTCACCATCTATTGGATGGCTGCTATTTTGTTCTTTGCATATTACTAAGGAGAGAGACACTTTACTATAAAGTGCATGAGCTCTGCAGTGTGACAGACAGAAAACAAGAAATCACCCCCCTAGAGGGTTGACCATGCCACAATCCCTTCTCCATTCTCTTCTTGGGATTTTGGTTACACATGTACGCCTTGCGTGAGTTTCAAGCCACTGGGTCTGAGACTCAAACCGTAGTTGACTGTGTGTTGTCCAGTGACGTAACCATTAATGCCATCCTGCTGGTCCCATTTCTGAGTGTTTTCTCTTTTTTTAAAGAATTATTTTATTTAACTTTATCCATTTATTTTACTTTGACCAGAGAGGGACAGAGAGAGAAAGAGGTGGGGGCAGTGAAAAAGCAAGCCACCTGGTCCAGGACTTGAACTATGGTCAGCCATATGGGAGTCCAGCATCCTTAACCAAATACCATCTGCTGGCCCCTCTGAGTGTTTTATAAATGACTTTTTTGACTTTTTTGTCCTTAAAATTGTTGTCTGAGCTTTTAAACACCTATAGATAATATTTTTAAGGTCACTTGACTTGTGTTCTGATTGGTTATCTAGTAGGAAATAATATTTTTCTTTTACTTGATTACTTTTTACTTTAAACAGATTGTATTTGTATATTTGTAATGTTCTCTTTTTGTGCTAATTATGTACAGATATTGGGTAATGGGTCATTATGAATTAATTTTCAAATGATGATGGACATCCATAGGGTTCCTCTTTTATCATAAATTAATGTTTCTTTCATATTTCCAGCTATGCAAGAAGAGGCCTTAAAGTTGGTATTGCTGGCATTAGAAGATGGTTCTGCTCTCTCAAGGAAAGTTCTGGTACTTTTTGTTGTGCAAAGGCTAGAACCAAGATTTCCTCAGGCATCAAAAACAAGTATTGGTCATGTTGTGCAACTACTATATCGAGCTTCTTGTTTTAAGGTAAGCAGTAAGCAACTCCCTGAAGACTACAGACATGCATATGAGATAGAGGACCCTACTGGGTCATCAGAAAAGTCATAATGCATTTTCGGATAGAAAAAAATACATCATGGGGCCAGCAGGTGGCATGGTGGTTAAGGCACGGAATTCCTACATGACTGACTGTGGTTCAAGTCCTGGACCTGGCAGCTTTCTCTCTCTCTCTTTCTTTGGCAAAACTCATGTGAAAAAAATAATGATAAATAAATAAAATAAATAATTCTTTCAAGAAAAGTACTTCTTGACTTTCCCCACAACCCAATAGAATGTGTAACCCTCTCAAGAGACCTCACAAACGCAGAATGGTTATGTGAGTTGAGAGACAACTTTTTTTTTCCCTTCTGCCTTGATTGTATCTATGATACCACCTATTGGTAGTGCCTATTACTAACTATTGGCAGAATGTGAAGGTATCCATAACACAGAATAGAACATAGGGAAGAACTTTGGTACACTTGATTTTTTCCATGTAAAAGTGTAACAGTAGATAATAAAGTTAATTACAGAAACTAATTCATTTACATTTATCATTATAAAAGGAAGTCAGATACTACATTGAACGCTTCCTAAGACTAAGTAAATGCTATACCCCATTATTACTTTCCTTATTTCATTCTTTGAAGTAATTAGAGCCTATAAATGGCCTACATGTTGTCTTAAGGAAAAAAATAAAAATGGAGTGAAAAGTTAAGGAGATCACCCCTTTTTGGTTTTTGTTTGGTGGAAAAGGCAGGGAAGAAATCCCAAAACATTTTAAAATGTAGTTTCATTTTCAAATAGGCTAGCGAGTGGTGACAGGTACCAAGACAGATGGAAAACGGGCTGAATCCTAGAAATTTGTGTATATTACAAATATTTAGGTTGCTGGCTGTATCTCGAGAAAAGCCTAAGAACTTAGAAATAGTCCCATTGGCTTCTGTAATTATAATAGTATCATATTATATTGTAACATGTTATGAAAGTAAAACATCTAACTTTGAAGTAGAAGCTTATTTAGGTGGGACCGGCAAGTAGCATGATGGCTACATTGCTGGACTCCCATGTAGTCAACCACAGTTCAAGTCCCGGACCCAGTGGCTTAAACTCACACTGGGCCCGTGTGTGTGCATGCGCTAGATTCCAAGAGGAGAATGAAGGAGAACGAACTGTGGCGTGGTCATCCCCCTGGGGGGTGATTTCTCACTTTCTGGCTAGTGCACCCTATAAGCAAAAAAGTCTGCCAAAACAAAAAACAAAAAAGCTTCTTTGGGTTATTTTGTTGATTTTATAGCCCCAGGATAGAATCAGTACAGAGAGAAACAGGCTTCTATGACAGACTGTTTAGTTTGAGATAACAGGTCACTATTGATGGAAATGTGTTAAAATAAATTGACTTCCACTGATGAGGCTTTGTTGCTATGATAGTCATAGTATTAGATTTCATGTCTTTAGAGCAGCAATTGAACCTCAAACATTATTTTTTTAGGATTCTGCCATAGGGTGTGTGTGCTTTTCAGAGAGTGAGAGAGAAAGTAAGAAATTCCCCAGTAGGGCTGTCCACGCCATAATCCTTTCTTCTCCATTTTCTCCTCAGGATTTTGAACATGCATGCATACATGCTCATGATTTTCAAGCAGCTAGGTTCAAGTCTTCTGGTTGGTGATGTGGGAGTCCAGTGCCTTAACCACTATGCCACTTCCTGGTCCTCAAATATTATGTTTTTGGCTAAGCAAAGTACAGAGGTCATTTGTCATCCGGAAATGACTGACTAGTTTTTCATACTGTGTATCACTGACATAGTGGACGTTTTTCCTTATAGGTGTCTTACTGATTTGTGGTTTATGATGGTAGGACATCTATTTCCACTGCTAATACCTGATCTATTAATAATGCTAGTGGGGGGGGGGAACCAACAGATAGCACGATGTATATGTCACTGGACTCCCATGTAGTCGACCATGGTTCAAGTCCTGGAACCGGTGGCTTAAAACTCACACCAGGGTAGAGGTGGCTGCCTTTGTTGAAGGACACCATCTTGTGGTTTTGGAAGAAGGTTGAAATCATTGCAGATCCAGAAGCTGATGCCCAGTTCCAGTTCACTAGTATTGAAAAGTACTTTAGCTCTTATACTCTCACAGGTAGAATCAATTGTGTACTGGCAATGTACAGAGGCATTGTTTTGATGATCTTATACTTCAAGTTAAGATGTAAGAAAATTCCAGCTGTGAAAACAACATAAATGGAGTCAAATGTCCAAACTTCACCTAAGTTCCTACGCCTGGAGAAGCTAATGTTAGTTTATTATGTGATGCTCAATTTGTACAATAAATTATGAACCTGGAAAGAAAAAAAAAAAAAAAAAACCCAAACCAGGCATGTGTGCATGTATGCCCAAAATCCCTAGAGGAAAATGGAGGAGAAGGGATTGTGGTTTGGCCATCCCCTCTCTGGTGTGATTTCCCGCTTTCTGTCTTTCTGTCTCTTTCTGTTTCTTTGGCAAGTGCACGTGCCATGTAGGAAAAAAATATCTCTAAATAATAGTAATAATGCCAGTGGAGCCAGCAGGTTGTATGGTAGTTAAGGCACTGAACTCCCACATAGCTGACCTTGGTTCAAGTCCCAGATCTGGTAGTTTTGAACTCACAGCAGGCATGTGTGCATGCATGCCCAAAATCCTGAGCAGGGGAATGGAGGAGAAGGGATTTGGGCATGGCCCTCCCTCCTAGGGGATGATTTCTCACTTTCCCTCCTTTTCTCTCCTTGGTGAGCACACATGCCTTATAGCAAAAAACTAAAAAGAAAAAAAAAAGCAGCTAGTTTAGAAAGTGTTTTCAATTCTTCTCTCATTTTATCTTCACTACTCTATAGTTTAAAATGTTAAAAGCATAGGGTCAGCCCCATAGCCTAGTGGTTAAGGGAGGTGGATCCCACATGGCCAACTGTGATTGGAATCATTTTCCAGCAACTTGAAAAACACTTCGGTGCTTCCATGTTTAAAATCCTGACTGGAGGGAGAAATAGAGTAAGTGGGATTGCAGTGCGACCATGCCCTCCTGTTAGGGGATGTGTTCTTTTTCTCCCTCTTTCTCTGTCTTTCTGTTTCTCTGGCAACTACACATGCTCTCTTGCAACTTAAAAATCAAAAAGGTTAAAGCATAGGGAACCAGCAGTTAGCGTAATGGCTATGTCGCTGGATTCCCACGTAGTCGACCGTGGTTCGTGTCCCAGACCCGGTGGCTTAGAACTCACGCCGGGCGCATGTGCGTGCGTGCCCAAGATCCCGAGAGGAAAATGGAGGAGAAGGGATTGCGGCGTGACCATCCCCCC